TACAAAAAAAATTGACTTTATATTCCTCCCGTACAAAACGCCAATTTCATATGTAAGGACCTATTATATAAAATTTGTATTGGGGATGAATACTTTTTGTTTATCTATTACCATAGGCATATGTAGAAAGGCGGAGAGCACGCCCTCTAGAAAAACTAGTGCTGTTCCTGAAAACTTTGTGTATCTAATTTCACTCATGGAATAATTCTAACACTATCTGCAAAGCTTCTAAAACTACTCCCTTATAGGACTTTGAATTTCGTGACACCTAATTTTGTTAAATAGTTGACAGAAATACTTAGTGTCCTGTGCTTGATTCATTAAAAACCTACCATACGAAACTAGTAGCATTAAGCAGATATTTTACGCTGGTATTCTGTGATATAATCATCCGACTGTACTACGTATAAACTTAAGTATAATAACTTGCAACCAAAAGACATCTTGTGGAAATAACAAACTTCAATATTTTTATTTTCTTTTTAGTATTTTATTTTTAAATTAAATTATATATTAGAACGCTGCATACATTTATAATACATTCAATTTATTCTGAATATTTTTTTGTCAATTATTGGGTAAATATACGAAAAAACAATATATCTTAATCAATTATAAAACAAGTTTAAAAGAGGTTTCCACGAGTCTCAGTGACAGGTCAAAAGATCAACAGACGTGTGAGTCAGCCAACTGGACTTGATAGCCACAACACAAATTGTCAGCGCACAAACTTGTTAGGCATTCAGTTAGACTCAATTCTTGGTTGCTCTTACTTCAGACAAAGCACGGAAGATTGTGATAAATGTCGAATATTAACTTCAAAACAAATCTTCTAATTTTTTTATAGGACGGGGTAACAAACAAGCACACAGTCCACCTGATGGTAAGTGCTTGCTGTGGCCCATAGACATCTACATCTATCCTCGATTACGAATCAAAATGCAGATACTGTTGTCACCCGTGAGGACTAAGATGGAATGCCTCTTTTCCAGTAAAAAGGGTCTCCGGTTCTCTACACTCACCATACGAAACACAGCAGCATTAAGCTACTATTATACGCTGGTATTCTGTGAGAGCGTGGTCCTTCCCCGGTCGAGTCGACCCATTTGTGCTACAACTATACTACTAATATAATTACAGCATGGCTCTACCACGTACATAAATTTCTAAATGCTAAAGCTTCTTATTTATAACAAATCCGTCTGGATTAATACTGTCTCCTAAGCTTTTTCTACCTGCCAATTACTCTCAGTACTGAGTTAGATGAGTAAACCATAACGCACCTGCGTCCTGCTATATTTGAAGTTAGTTACAGATGAAAAAAACTTAACCGTGAAGTGGCGGCGTAAGAATATTCACTGAACCATATGATCCCGTGGGTCCTGAAGAGGCGATAGAGGGAAACCAACCAGATCGGCAGCATCGTCTCTTTAATAACAACTAAATAATGAATAACTGTGACCAACCTGCCTGTTGAGCGCGGGAACTACTACTACAAATGTATAAGAGGCAATATATAGGGAAGGTTTATGTTCAACAGTAGATCTTTGATAGACTGTAATGATAAATTACGGTTTATCATTCTGAAATAAAATAATCAAGATTTAAAATGTCATAGTGCAATCAAATGCTATGAACATTCTAATAATGTGGACACTTAATCGTACTGTAAAGAGATTGAAGAATTTTTTGTTGCTTTTCGTCTTCAAAAAATTGACTTTAAATATTGACTATATAGATTCTTTACTAGCTTTTAGAAAACTAATATAAATTATATGATATGAGTGTGACACGGACATGGATCAGGCAATTTAAGTAACGCCCACTTCACACAACTATTTTTTTCCAGACGGTAAAAGAGATCAACCAGTATATAAAAAAATACTTAAGTAAAAATAATATTAAGAAATATCTAATATATAAAAATTAACGTTTGTTTGTCCGTTTTTTATGCGCTACCTTACCGTTCATCAGATTACGCCAAAAATTTGTATACTTGTTGCATGTAAAGTTATAGGCGTAGTACAATTAACTTACAGTATGTGGCGTGCGTACCGACAAACTTAATTGACCGTTATATAATATCATTCAGTTTCAGTGAATATAGTATCATTCCTAATTAAACAATATAACACTTTGAATAATTTTATCAATTATCCAAATTATAATAATACGGCAAGTGAAATGTTATATTCAAATTTAACAATATATGTAACCATATAAAAATTAGACGTAGGTATGTACACTCAGATAAAACAAATCTCCAAGGTGTTCCTGAAGGAACGTAACAACAGGACTCCCACTTCTCCCTACCGAAACCCCCACTAACGTCATTCAAGAAAATTGAGAAAAGTGTGTACAGGGTTACGACTTATTTACGGATATTCATAGTTTGAAGAATATTCAGGTCACAGATAGCGCGTATTGTTCAAAATTATATTTTTTAAATCTGCTTGCTTCTTTGTTTTGTTTATGCTACTTTCGGCAATAAAACTTAAAGATGTCCGTCCTGGCAATGCAAATGAATGCAAAAAATATTTGAAGACATCATGAGGTTACAGAAGGTCTGAATTACAATATTCTCTGGGATAAAATCTACATTTACGGCAATAAAAAATGTAAAAATTATAATGTCATTTTAATGAGGCATGTATGGATTTTTTATATTTGAATTAGGATTTCAGACGTAAAGTTATAAAAGATAAGACATAAATGGATTAAGAATCAACAAAATAAAAACGGGATAAGTTATTTCTTAATAAAAAATACTAGCAATGCAAAATAATATTACTAACGAACGACCTTTTGACCTATGTAATAGCAATTAGGCTACTTTTTTCTTTACTTTAATTCTTCATCATAATATCATTCCACTATTTAATTCACAACGGGCTTTATTTTTCTCGAACGCATAGATGTGAAGATAAAAATGTAGAAAATAATTTATGAATAGAAGTAGTTTCTTTCAAAGGCGAACTAAATTTTAGTACAGGTATGTAATGTATAGTTGATATAGTTATAATGTCAATGTCTTAAATAGAAGCTATAGAAATGCTTAGCCTAAGTAATTCGTTTTTAAAAATGTCAGTGAAATAGTGCAGAGACAACCCTGTCCCGCTCCGTTCCCAAAGGTCCCGATTCACGTTCGAAGTAAAATAGAAAAAAGAACATCGCCGCACTGTCGCCTCGCAACATGACAGTGCCTGTATTACCTACGCCGGCTTGCGTCGCGAGCTTCGGACATGCAAGTGTATAGAAATGATTCCGTTTTGTAACCTAGTTTTAGCTTATTTACGAATACAACTTAGACTATATTAAGTTAGAAGAGAGACTTCGGGCGGATCTGGTACTTTGGTTATTTAATAATAATGTTGCGCGCTTAAGTTAAGGATAATTTTACTCTAACACTGTGAACCACGTAATTAAGTTATATAGTACTGTAGTGTGACATGAAAGCCAGATTTATGTAATGCACAAATAATTCACAAATGAAAATAAATGAAAATTGAAAAATCTTTATTCAGTATCTTTTACATAGTAACATGACTAATGGCCGGAATCTCCTTCCAAGTACGATACTTGTGTTAGGAGACTCCGCTCCTTCCCAAGATTACAAAAAGATACATTGTGTTATAGTCAAGATTACCTACAGCAAGATAATAATCAACAATTAGAAATGTCAAAGAGAAGCATTATAGTTAATAGTTAAGTACTGAGGACGCGCAAAAGGAATTAATTAACGATTTAATTTAAACTTTTATGACGTGTGTGTGTGTGTGTGTGTGTGTGTGTGTGTGTGTGTGTGTGTGTGTGTGTGTGTGTGTGTGTTTGCATGTGAGTGTGTATGAGTTAGTGAATAGAATTAAGACGAAGAGATTAAGAATTGAACAGAAACAATCCAAGGACCCAATCAGTTTAATTTAGGCATTTTTCACCTTAAATGAAATTTTTAACAACACAAGGCGAAACCAGTTTGATAGCTGCTCATAATAGCGATAGCTTTTAATAAAGAGTGTGTCTTTATTCATAGTAATTGTATCTTTACTCACTAATAAACGAGAAACAACAACAAAAGAACGAGACATCTGTTCTATGATCGTCAGTCAACCTGTCAGGCGTGAAGATTAGCAGCTTCGGAAGACGACAAGATAAAGACTAAAAATAAAAATATGCTACGATTACCAACCCGCTTGCCAAGGGTGCAACTATGTCGAACATCCCTATGAGTGAATCTATGGGAAAATCCTATGTTCAGCAGTGGATTTTAATAGACTGTATCAGTAACCATAAATTTCATAGTAAGCGAGCAAACTAAGTGCGATGCCTAGCACCAATGAAATTGTAATGCAATTGTAGATGCTGGTTTACCACATCCTATGCTGCGTAGAAAAGCACCGTGGGTAAGACCGCCAATACACAGTGCAGCAGCTCGGTGTACTTACTGCTTCATTACCTTCTCAGAAACAAGAGGAGGCCTGTGCCCAACTATGTAACGTATTTAATCTTTAAAATTTATTAGATTTTAATCGTGGTGGAGCAATGCAATAGCTATACTATATTATGGTTGTAATACGAATGGGTTGGTTCGATCGGAGAAGGGCCGCGCTCGCACAAAATACCAGCATAAAATAGCAATTTAATGCTGCTGTGTTTAGTATGGTGAGTGTAGAGAACCGGAGATCCTTTTCACTGGTAACGAGATATTCCATCTTATTTATCAGGTGTGGCAATGTATCTACATTTTAATTCCTAAGCGAGAATAAATGTACCAGTCAATGGGCCACAGCATCCACTAACCATCAGGTGGACTTGTTACGTGTTAGTTTGTCACCCTCATTCTATAAAAGAAATTGTTCTTTAATAGTTGCTTTAACATTTGTTTAAAAAATTATTTAAATTTGCTGTTTAAATGCTGTATATTCGTTAAAAGTAATTTATTTTCGTTGACAAGACTCTATCACTTAAGATATTTTTTCAATTAAAAAGATTTCAACGCTCACCTCTCTTATGCTCTTCCGTAGTCCGGTTGAGTTGAGGGGGTAACGGCGCTGGTATTGCCGGCGCTGCTGGTGCCGTTGGAAGCCCAGGGTACCACCAGCCAGTCGCCGCTTGACCGTTAAACATTCTCAGCTTCTCGTATACGCTGTCGTTCTGCGCTGACGCCGCTTGCTCCTTCTGGGATGCCAGGTTTCTTAGAACTCGGTTTATTGATGACACCTGGTGGTTTATATACGTTATCACTATTTAAATTCATTATCAAATTGAGTGGTCATTAAATAAATTTAAGCTATATTTTAAAAGCTATTTTTAAAAGCTTTTTTAAAATATTTATTTAGCGATCATTAACCGTACAAATTGGCAAGAAGTAATTTTTAAACGTATGAATTTCTTAAAGAAAAGTATTCGGCACAAAAAATGCAAAAAAGTAGTCTGTCTTTTTTTTTATACACTTATAACACTAGTTTGCCAGGCAGACGTTGTTCTGCCCTATTCGACGACCCTTTGTCATGTCCTATTAAAAATCCTTAAATTAGCAAAAAAAATTGTGGGTCACTCATGGGCAAAAAAATACTATCCTATCTGTCCAAACTGCACACGGTGTGCAAATTTGATTAAAATCGATTCAATAGTTTAGGAGTCCATAGCGGACAAACAATGTTACACGTAATTTATATATATTAAGATAATCATTGTTGTGTAATTTCTGAACTTCTGAAAATCAATCCAATTGAGATCGTATTCACATAATATATTTGATTTTTCTTTTTCAAAATTACAGTTTATAGATAAGATACTCAACAGGAATATTTTAAAACATTTATTTACAATACAATGTTTTGTCAATTTTGTGTTTAGAAACAACATGGTGTTTAACAATTTTAGCATAGTAAAAATTTTAAACTTTTTGATAGATAGTACATATTCCTACAGCTCTATAGTTAATCTTTTTTTATAGGATAGAGTGACAAACGAGCACACAGTCCACCTGATGGTAAGTGGTTGCTGTGGCCCATAGACATCTACATCTATCCTCGATTGAGTATCAAAATGCAGATACGTTGTCACCCGTGAGGACTAAGATGTAATGCCTCGTTTCCAGTAAAATGGGTCTCCGATTCTCTACACTCACCATACAAAACACAGCAACATGCTACTACTATATTATACTAGATTCTAGATGAAAGAATTATTACATTATCTACAACGATTCAATTATCAACGATATGATTAAGTCCAATATTACCCTCGAACCTGATTCTCGTTATAAATAATTCGATACATACAAAATTTTCATCTCCACCAAACTGTAAACAACTATCTAATAGGAAATAAATTGCCGAACAGTTCCCCACCCTTTAAAGTTCCGTGCACGTGTAATTTAAAATCTAATATGATTACTAAATTCCAATCGCGAGCCTCAAAGGGACACAGATTAGGGACCCGCCACCCCACTCTCCCCGCCCCTGCGGAGCCTAAAAACCCCAATATCTATCTACTTTCGGCGAAAAGGCACGCATGCGTGAAAAACCTGGCACACACAAATATAACATTCTATATATGCCCATTTTAACACGTAGGTCCTGTCTGTTGTACTTCTAGCTATGTATTACTCCGGTGGGGCGTCCCTAGATATAATATCTGTTTCTTGTTGCTATTGGCAACGAGGAAAATGTATTTTTCCTTGCTTCGGGCGGGAAGTTGGCCGATGTTGAGAGGTTGCGATTTTATTATGGCAAATACGCGCTTCGTAAAAAGCAAGGTTGCGTCGAAATGTTTTAATAATCGATTCTCGGTTAACTTTCGTCGTTTTCTCGACACTTAAATCTATTGTTGAGCGTAATATTTCAACTTGAGAAACTTTTTCCTGTAATATTTCAGGCTCTTACATTTATTTGTTCAAATTCCCACACAAAATCCTACTGCTAATAAGAAATAGGTAATTCTTATATGGAATTACGGGCGTAGCTTTTAATGACTTATAAAACAAAACAATATTTATTCATCGTACAACAGTGATCCATAAATGTTAGTAGCAGAAAGACTTAACACCTATGTTCGTACTCAATAAATAATGTTGTTCGAGTAATAACAAGTACCTATTATGATGAACTTACAATACCTATGGACTGTGCTTTGTTTAGTTAACTTTATACGCATATGTTTGGATTCATCTTAATGCCTGAGGTATTCTCTGCCAGTCAACCACGGGGTGAAGCACAGATAAACATAATTCGAGCTCAGTTTAAATCTTAATCAGCTTGCGGTCTAGGCTGATCATTAAGCCCGTAAATAATTATATCCATCTTAGTAAGGAACAAAGCCTACATTGGAAGTTTGGTATTCCCCGGGGACTCCTCTTAGTCGACGTAGTAATATTAAAAAAAGAGATAACTGACGACCCTTTTGTTCACATAATTGTTGTGTTTTATTCACATAAGATTAGGTTACCTCGTAGGAAAACATCGTGAGGTCCTTTACCGCCGTATACGTGGTAAATCCGCAATCAAACATTTCACTGGCACTGGCGGGGATAGTACCCGGGTTGCTCTCGTACTTTGAAATTTACGGTAAGCGCTTAACCTTTGAGCTATAACTGCTTACTTATACTACATTACTTTAACATTAATTATAACAAAGTAAACTAACATATATTTTGTAATAAAATATATTTAGAACTATCGCATGACTATGTGCGGTAGATCCATTTAATTCCTTGTCCCGCTAATGGGGGGTAATGTACTCACAGGCTAGAACAGCTCGGGCTCCAGTGTATGAGCTAAAAAACCTACACGCATTTTAATCTTCTATACGGGATATGAGCTGCGGTTTTTTGTCTGTTTGCTTCGTGCAGTTAATGGACGTGTTATAAAGGATTAATTTCCCATATTTCAAATTGATTATTTAATTAAAATATGCAAAACAGACCAATATATTTCGTCTATAGGTATGAAGAGAGTCTGCTTGAAATCAACAGTTTAAATAAAATATGCAAATCTGTATATAATATCTGTATTATATATATATATATATATATATATATATATATATATATATATATACAGATATCATGAAACAATCTATCTTAAAGTTTATTTTATTTTATTATGGCCGTATTAAATTCGAGGTCAGTTATAGCAGGAGAGCGGAAGGCTAATAAAAATAAGTGAATACGTAACATTATAATTATTTACTGAATATTTATAAAAAACGAGTAAATATACCTATAGAAATTCAATTTAACGTGTCCCAGCAATTTGGAAATGTAGGAAAACGTTAGAAACATTGAGGAAGAGAAAACTCTTTGAAGTGTGTGATAAAACACCATCAAAAACCTATTTCGATTCAAAACTGATGGTGATTGCTCTTTAACTGTACTTATGTGAAAATAAATAGTGTTGTATACTGACACACATTATATTAAAAGCTCGCCTACGAACTGCAACGTATAAATGATATTCCATGCGCATTTCGTAGTTTTTTTTTAATTAAAATTATAATCAAAATTTACTGTGTAATTGTTTCATACTCCTATAGTTATTAAATTATTAATGATTTTTATTCAAATGTTAAATAATTATAAATTAAAGCCTTGAGAACTTTGTTTGAAGGGCGATTAAAACTTTAAAAATAATAAATTTATCTCTCTACTTGTACTAATAGATTACAGAATTTAAATTATAAACAAGTTAACTCTGCAAACAAGCTAATAAAAACTTTAAATTAATTTCATCTGTGTTATTTATTGTATCTATGTACCTACGTATAAAAACAAAAACCAGATTCCAATTACAAAAATGTCTCTTCATAGTAAGATGTTCCAGGAAAAAAAAAACATTTTCTAATTTCAAACACGAATACAGCCAATAGGAGAAGTGCATTTAAAACACGACTTCTGTTTTTGACAGCTCTTTAACCAATCAGATTGGAACGGGGAAAGATTAAAGAGCGACTGTACGTACGTGTGTCCTATTAGAATTTAAAAAGGATTTATCTTTTTGGTTGTACGATTTACAGTTTGAATGGGAGAACAGTTCATTTAATGGAAATTCTCATACATGAGTGGTATCCATGAGAAAAACATATTCAGAAATAGCTTTTTATAGTGGATACATTTTAATCGAATGCTAGAACATTTAAAGGAAAGACAATATTTTATATACGTTCGTCACTTCATTTTCATCAAAAAAAAAAAAATAAGAATCAAATCTTGATGCAAGAAATATACAAAAGTTTGATAACTAATTTATAATTATATAAATAAAATGTCTTTGTTTTCTTAGAAGTACAAACATATACGGAATATTTATATTGTAATAGTACTCCTGGCGGTATGTTTTCAAGAACGTCAGCCTAGCTATCATCGAAAACTCTATTATTTATATTTAAAAAGAATAATATGTGATCATTGACCGTGTAATACTACATAATTACTACCCTTATATCGTCCTATACTGTGGGAGGCGACAGAGGTATATTGCTTAATAAAAACGAAATCGCGGTTTCCAATTCGCAAGACAAGCATGCCACCATTGCAAATATATTATTAAATCTATGGGGGAGGGGGGGGGGGGCTACAGGCTGTAACGGTAATCCTATTGAACCGAGGTTAAATAATTCAATTAATTTATTTTTACTTTGTTGACTTACAATCGAAATTCTTTTCACATTGATCTCTCATTTGTGTTTGCTCAGATGTCACCGCGGTCGAGGATTTTCGGCGTTGCGTTCTTTCAGATTATTACGCAACGTTGCACACATGCAGCTGCTGTTGCTCTCAGTTAGTTAACGTTAACTTTAAAAATATTCTCGTTAATTACGTACAGTATTATTTTTATTAAGAATATATTGTTGAGGAATATTTGGATGTTAATAACTCTTGGGTATAGGTGATCTCTATCAATTCTTTTTTCTAATATGATTTGTAGAATTAATTGTACAACTTAGTACTGGTGCATAATTGTAAAATGTTTTTTTCTAAATTCCCGCTAGGTGACTCAGTAATTTCCCGCACGTGTGGTAATTCAAACCCAGTAGTAATAAAAAACATGTGCCTTGATAGCCACGCTTGATGGTGGATTGGCAACTGTAAAATCTACATTGAATAAATAATTTGTTTCCTTTTTTAAAAATAAAATTAACATGTAATATACTCGTAAACTTCTCTTTTGAGTGGTTACACCTACGATTCTAATAAGTAGCAGTGAGTCTGTCAAAAT